CCATTTCCTTTCCTCCTCCCTCATTCTCCTTCCCTCCCACTCCTTTCTTCCTTTTCTCCATCATTTTCTTCTCCCTCTTCTTCCCCTTCCCTCCTCTCACTTCCTTTCCTTCTCCCACTACTCTTTCACTCCTTTTTCCTCCTTCCTTCCTCCCTCCCTCCCTCCTCTTCCTTTCTTCCTTGCTCTTTCCTTCCCTCCTCTCTGGGTTCCTTAGAGATTGCAGCACCTCTCCGCTCATCCACCCACCCACATCGTCTCCCGTCCTCCCTGCTGCCTTTCTCATCCTTTCTCTTTCATCCGTCCCAGTCTTCTTTTGCTTCAAGACTCCTTTTTTAAATTTTGGCAGAAAATAATTTGGTTCTGAGCCACTCAGAAAACTGACTGTCCAGCCGGGCTAAGTCTTGATCCCTTCCTGGCCAGAATAGTGTGTGTGCGTGTGTGTGTGTGTGTGTGTGGTGGGGGAAGGGATGTCTAGAAGCTTTCATCCCTGGAAGCTTTCTGTCAGAAATGGTGTAGGATCTCCTGCTTGGACGGAGGAAGGGGTCGGTCTAGATGACCTACAAGGTCCCTTCCAACCCTGCTATTCGGTTATTAACTCGCTGCAGCCAACTTGCCACTGGACAAGAGCTACACGAACATCAATAAATGGTGGAAATAGCATCATTAAAGAAAGATTGCCAAAGGAGCCCCCAAAATGAAATGCGAATGACAAAAAGTAAAACGATTAAAAAAAATTATTTCAAGTAAATGGATTGTCCCGCGGCGAGTCGGCTGTGGCAAAGTTGCCCCTTTCTGTCCGAGAACAATGGTTAGGTGTTGGTGAATGCACCCCACGTGGCGTGTGTGTCCCCCAACACGCATGTCCCCGTGGCAGGGTGGGAGAGGTGTGGTCCTGACCACCCAACGGGGCCTTCAGCGTGGAAATCTATCTCCTTCCAGGACTTGATCCGTCGCATCCTGCGCCCGGCTTCGAAACGTCTGAACATCTTGGAGATCCTGAAAGTCTCTTGGGTGTTGAAGTTCTTGGCGGAGAAGCCCACCTCCGAATTGAAGGCCCTGGAGGCCATCTGCGGACCCCGGACGCCGGACGCCGGCAAGAGCACCCTTACGCCCAACACCAAATCTAAGTCTCTCACATTTTCTCCAGACAAAAAAAAACCAGCCAGCCGGACTCGGAGCACGGGGCAGATCAAGCCGTCTAAACATGCAGAGAAAAGCAGCTGAATACCCTATTAAAGAAAGGGAAAACAAAAATGAGAGGCCCCTACAATTTTGCAGCTGGCTGTTGGGCTGCGCGGCTGGATTTCTAGCTGCGGGGACATGGCCAGTTATACCCTGGGAAAGCAGGGAGGATCTCATGGCAAGGGGGTCTTTTAAAAAGAGGGAGGGAGGGGGGAAGAATGGACCTATAGAGGGGTGGTGGGGTCTGTTTGCTACAGGTAGTCCTTGACTTACGGGAACTCGTTTAGGGACTGTTTGAAGTTACAACGGCACCGAAAGAAGTTTTTCACACTTACGACCTTCGTGTTGTGTGATAAAAATTCGGGTGACTGGAAATCGACTCATAATTACCGTTTCCCCCAAAATGCGACCTACTCTGAAAGTAAGTCCTAGCTTTTTATGTGCGCCCAAAATAAGCTCTACCCCCCCCCCAAATAAGCCCTAATTAAGATCCCGCCCACTCCAGAGAGGATGGGTTAACATTAAGCTAAGATGGGGATAGGGTGGTAGAACTGCCCTACTTACCTTTGGACAGGTGTAGCCAGGCCTCACACACCCCGACACCTGCCTTGCCAGCCCATTTCTTCTGCAGCCGGCAAGGCTTTCCTGAAGGCCTCTGGAGCTGATAACAAAGCTCAGGATCGATCCAGAGGTCCATTATCAGCTGCAGAGGCCTTCAGGAAAGCCTTTTTGGGTGGAAAAAAAAATGTAAGACAGGGTCTTATTTTTTGGGAAACATGGGTATGATGAAGGGTCCCGGAGTCACACTTTGTGATCTTCTGACAAGCAAACTTAGCAACTGACTCATGTTTACGACAGCTGCAGGGTCCTGGAGTCACGTTTTGCGAGCTTCTGACGAAGTCAATGGGGGAAATCAGATCCACTTAACCACTGTGCAGTGATTCACTTAACAATTGTGGCAAGGAAGGTCATAAGATGGGGCAGAAGCTCACTTCACAAATGTCTCACTTAGCGGGTAATGAATGTCTGCAAGAAAACCACCAAGCTCAAAGAGCACAAAGTCTACATCTCTTAAGCATGGAATCCTGGGAGTTGGAAGTTCACATAAACTTGGAATTCTGGGAGTTGAAGTCCATGCATCTTATGCCTGAAATCCTGGGAGGTGAAACCCACATAAGCATGGAATTCTAGGATTTGGAAGTCCATGCATCGTAAAGAGGCTAAGGCTGAAAAAACCTGGGATAAATGCTCATATCAATTGAAGGTCACATATCTTAAGCCTGGAATCCTGAGGTGAAATCGATGTGAGCATGGAATTCTGGGAATTGAAGTTCCTCTCTCTTGAGCATAGAACCCTGAGAGTTGAAGTTCACATAGACATGGAATTCTGGGAGTTGAGGTTCACCTGTCTTAGGCCTAGAACCTTTAAGAGTTGAAGTTCACAGATGTATGGAATTCTGGGAGTTGAATTTCCGCTGTCTTAAGCCTGGAATCCTGGGAGAATTAGCATGGAATTCTGGGAATTGAAGACCAGGCATGATGAGGTTGAAAAACACTGGGATAAATTGGTTCAAAGTGACAAAATGAGGTAAAAGATTCATTCTGTAAAAAACTCAGGAGCTGATGAAAGAAATCATCAGATTTCTGATTTTCGGCTACCACCACTGTGTTTTAACCTCAGCCATTTTGAAAAGGTTAAGCATAGAATTCTGGGAGTTGAAGTCCGCACTTCTTAAAATGGCCGAACTTTTAAAAAGCAACACTGGTTTGGGGTGCAAATTCCAACAAAAAAAGGGGTTTTTTGGGGGGAAGAAGGGCGATGGAAGAAAACAAACCACACGCCATTCAGTTCAGACAATACATTTCAGGGCACTTTATTCACCGGGCACAGAAAGCAACACAGCAACGGGTCACCGCAGGAGTACACGCGTGTCAGTGGGGGGGCCACGCTTCCCCCCGCACCATCCCAACTCCTGCCCACAAGTCAATTTGAAAAGAAAAAAGACAGAGCAAGCTAGCTTTAAAACAGAAAAGAGAAAACACCAGGCGCAAGTTGAAGCAAACTATTAACCAACAACCCCACCCACCCGCCCAGCAAAAAAACAAAAACAAAAAAAACACCCGTTAACAGATACACGCTACCAATGAAAACCAGGACAGAACAATACCTCCAGTCCAAACTAAACCACAATTTTTCTCCCTTATTCCCTGATAATCCCCCACCCCCCTTCCCCCCCCACCACCCCCCCCCCCCTCCTTCCCTCCCCCCCCCCGGGCTAAGGGGCAGCTGCCCCCCCCCCCCCCCCCCCCCCCCCCGCCCGAAACCCACCCACCCTTAAATTCCTTTGCAACACGCATGGGAGGAGGAGGAGAATCCTAGACTGCATCGTTTGCACCACCGGAGTGTGTGTTCTGTGTTGGTGTGTTTGGCAACAGACGGAGCTGACAACTTGCCCTAAAGGAGACAAGAGACCAACAGGAGAGAGAAGAAGAGAGAGACCAACACTCACGGGAACGGCACCCTCCAAAACCGGACAGAAAGCGAAGGACAGACCAGAGGGTCAAAAACTCTTGAGAATTGCCCCCCCCCCAAAAAAGCTTCATTTTCAGGCTGTGTTTGCGTGTCACACGCCGTCCGCTCCTCCTGAGCCCCCCGCAAGGATGGGCCAAAATCCTGTTGTTGTTTTTTTGAAAACTGAAAAAGAAAAAAAGTTAATCTCCAGATGATTTCAAGATTCAGTCTTTACCGGGGGGGGGGGGGGAGGAGAATGGGGGGGGGCAGGTCTTTTAAGCCCCAATCACCCCTCCCTCCCCCGAACAGGCTCCCGTTTTCTATATTGTAGATATATATATATATATTTATATTTATATAAATCTGTCTATAAAACTCTTTACATTCGGCACGTAAGGTCATTTTAGGCAGGGTGTGTGTGTGTGTCTGTGACTTCCGGCCCTCCCCTCTTTTTGTTGTTGTTGTTGTTGTTGTTGTTTCTTTCCCCACCCCACCCCTCCCCGTAACCATGGAAACCGGAGGGGGACAAAATGGTTCCCCTCCATCTCTTTTCTGCCTCTTTCTCCGAAGAAAACCAAGGGAGGCGAGGAGGAAGCGGTGGGGGAAGGAAATTTCCCACAATGGCATCACGACACCCAGGCGGCAAGCTGTTTCATTTCCTCGTCTTCCTCATCCAGGGAGGCCGAGGGCACTTTGGAAGCTGCGGGGAGGAAAAGAGGCAGGATTTGAACCCGTGACGTCGCTTGAAAAGGGGCGTTGCCCTCTGTGTTCAACTTCTGCTGGGCAGGACTAGTGCCCCCCCAATTATCCAGAGCTGGTACCCAGGCAATTGTACAGGTAGTCTCCCTAGGCTTTTTTTTTTTTTTTTAACAGATTAACAGAGTGGGAAGGGACCTTGTAGGTCATCTAGTCCAACCCCCTGCCCATGCTTATTTTGTGAGCAAAGTTACAACCAGCGCTGAAAAATGGGACTTGTGACCGTTTTTCTTCACGCTTAACGACCTAGGCAACGTGATCACGTTATCGAAATTCGGAGGCTTGGCAACCGACTCGTATTTATGATGGTCGCAGTGTCCGGGGGTCACGTTTTTGTGATTTTTCTGGCAAGCAAAGTCCATGGGGAAAGCTGGATTCACTTCACAACACTGCAACTAACTGAATGACGGCAGGGATGGTGGCAAAGAAAGGTCGTAAAATGGGGCAAAACTCCCTTGGCAAATGTCTCCCTTAACGACAGCGATGTTAGACTCAATTGTGGTTCTAAGTCGAGGACGGTCTGTACACCTGCCACAACTAGGTCACACTGAAGTGAGGGTGTTTTCGTGATATGATACAGGTGGTCTTGACTTAGAACCATTCTTTTAGTGACCAAAGTTACAACTCATTGAACAGTCCTCATATTTATGAGCAGTCCTCATACTTATGACCGTTGCGGCATCCCTGAGGTGAAATCATTAAAATTTGGCCGGTTGGCAACCGACATGCATTTTTATGGTTGAAGTGTCCCGGGGTCATGTGGCTGTCATTTGTGACTTTCCCAGCCGGCTTCAGACCAGAAAATCAACGGGGAATCTGAAGGTGGATTCATTTAACGAATGTCTGCTTCGCTTAACGAACGCTGGGTTTCACTTAACAAAAAGGGTCGAAAAACTGGGTGTCAGTCCATTAACCCACGCTTTGCTGAGCGACAGAAATGTCAGCCGCTCCTGCGGTTGTAAGTCGCGGATTACCTGCGTTAAGCTTTGGGGGCCTGCATGTTGTCATACCTGGCACACTGGGGAGGCGAGAAGAGGGGACATTGGGGAGCTCCGGACTGGCCTGCCCAACATTCAGAAGTTCCTTGTCCAGATCTTCTTGTTCCATCTCTTCCAGTTCGGCCAGCAGCTCATCCTGTGAAGGCAGAAGGGCGAGATTCGCATTCAGTGCAGGGGAGGACAAGAGGAGCAAGCAGAGGAGGAAAAGGAAGAGGACAGAAGGAAAAGGAAAAGAAGGAGGAGAAGGAGGAAGGGGAGGAGAGGAAAAGGAAGAGAAAGAGGAGGAGGAAGAGGAAAAGAGGAGGAAGAAAAAGGAAGAGAAGGAAAAGGAAGGAGGAAGAGAGAAGGGAGAAGGA